TTAATATGTAAGGTAATATATATGTAATACATTTATTAGAAAGGGTTTATATATGTAATGTATTCAATACATTAAAGTCTCATTAATTTTAATAATTCAAAATTTTTTTCATTTTTCTTATAAATTCAAACTTTTCAAATTGTTAAAATTTCATATTTAATTTTTTTTAAATAAACTCATGTAATACATGGGTCTCACACCTAGTATTTATATTAAATGTTTTTATATCTTAACGTTGGAAACTTGGACCTAAGATCTTTTAAAATTTGAACTTTGAGATTCAAGATTTTGATGTATTTGTTGTATAATTAATCCTTAATATATATCATAGCTTGTAAGAAAGAAACTGGTTCATTAACATCCTCGTATTCCTATTATAAGTTCTTGATATTATAAAGAAAATCAATCATAGGTAATATCTCAATTTAAATATATTTTCTTACTATTTCATATAAATTTCATAAAGAATAACAAGTTTCAATCTCTAAATATTATTAAAAGGAAAACCTTATTACATCATTTTAAACAATCTGGACCCTTGATTGTATTTCAATTCTATGTTTTCTACCATTAGATCAAATTGATGACATCATCTTCTCAAAATTGAATGTATTTAATTCCAATAAAAACTTTCCAATTTTCAAACAAAATTAACTTACATCCTTTGAAATTGAATTTATATAATTCTAATAAAATCTTCCGATATTTTAAATCTTGAATTTTCGGTTATAAAGATTTTAATATGGTCACTTTAAAAACACATTAGTAACAAACAATTTCAATTAAGGTATTAATATCAACCATTAATATAAATCTGTTTATATTAGTAAATCATTAATATAAAATATATTTTTATCAGAAAACCATTAATACCAAAAAATCAGATTCAAATTATCAAATACATATACGATTCATCATTGAATTTGCAGCTCATACTTATTTTCAATCGTTGCTTTTCTTCAAACATTCTCCCGCAACATCATTCTTATTGTTTATAGCTTTCATCATCATTCTCTCCTTCAAACATTCGTTGTTGTGTAGTAGAAGGTCAGTACCTTTTTTCGATTTTTATATTTTTTTCGATTATTTTTTTTGTTCCTATATCAAATGTATGTATTCATATATTTCGATTTTTTTTTGTCACAAAGTACATAAAATCAGTTAACTACTTTTCTAAAACTTTTCAAATAAACAGGAAAAGATATTACGTACATTTAACAAAACAGAAATTAACTATCTTTGGAATTGACACTAATTAGGAAAATGTTATTTTATATATTAGTGATGATTATGATTTTTTTTTAATTATTATGTCATAAGAATCCGGTTAATTTTGGTATGATTTTAAAATATTTTTGTATGATCCTATTACACTTTTAGGTTGATTTAATAGAAAAAATAATATATAATTTATTTATGCGTCCTTTGAAATTAAGTATGGAAACAATTTTGTTGACAACTATAATAGTTTTCATACCTCTTTATAAATCATACATTTTTATAGATAAATACATTGTATACATCCCTTTTATTTCATATTAAAGTACTTTTTAATTCTAATTGTTTTCTCTTTCATTTTACACCCATGACACAAAACAATCGCGATGACATCGTCTTTGATAAGGTTGCTGACATCGATGCATCCAAGGAAACCTGAAACATTCATGTTCAAGTACTATTGCTCTGGAAGCAAACTTAAAAAACAACCCAAACATGTTCAGCAGCTTGGACATGATTTTAATTGACGAGTAGGTACAATTTTTACTTTTTATTATTATGTTGCTTTTAATTTATAACATTTTAAACTTAACCAATTTTTTTTCCACTTACATGGCACTAAAATACAAGGAACAATAAAAAAATCTCATTAGTTCGTTTGAAGCCCTCCTTGTTTGAGGATCTGTAAGGGAAATTAGTAGTTTTGGTAGTACCATAAGTGTAGGAGATTACATGGTGGTTGATCATAAGCATAAGAATAATTTCTACAAAACAACCAAAGTTCGTGTATCAAATGATTTTGCTGTTATTGTGGATCCTTATAATTTTGTGACTTTCCAGGATTTGATAGACATGAATCTCGACACTCGTGTTGCATTTGGTAAGATTTTATTTTACATTATACCTTATCTATAATACAACAACCATTTATTTTTTTTTGTTCCAGATTTTCTTGGTCAGGTTGTGTCGACTAATCCCATAAAAGTGATTATTGAAAATTCAAGGGAGAAACGATTGATGAACCTGGTTGATGAGGATCTAAGTTAAGTGTATGTGTTTAAAACATTTTATTTTCTAAAGTATTTTTCTAAATGATACCATAAAACATGTTCTTTGCATGAAAATGACATGTTCATCTACACTTCAATATACATGTTTATTTTAGCATTACTTAAAACATTTCGAATCCACTAATTATAGAATTCACCCTTTTTCATACAGGAAATAATTCGTTGATCATTATCGGAGGGTCCATTTATGATCTTCTCACTAACAAATTGGTCAAAGTTGTTAGAGCTCTTTCACTCATTTTTTTTATCACATGTCTTCATACTTTTAAGTTTTAAATTTTCATCTTCAAATTCCATTTTTTAGTTACATACGTTCATTGAAATTATTATTTTTGTTTAACATACGAACCTACTTTGTTTTATCTTTATATAGTAACAATAAAAATTATAAATTTACACAATAATATACATATTTCGATTTTTGTCATAGCATTATACTTTACAAAATACGATTCCCTCCAAAATAATTTTCGTCATTAATATCATCCATAATTTCACCCAATTTAAATTTGTATTTTCTTTATATAAAATTTTTAAATGATCCGATTTTTTCCCTCCAAAGTATATCAAACATTTATGTCTTAGATAATGTTGTCCCATTATAATTATTACTTACCAAAATATATCCGTTTCATGAGGAATTTAATTTAGTGAAAGAAGTAAATGTTAATTCAAACAAGATATATATTCCATAATTCTTACACGAGTTTATTAAAAAAATATCAAAATGTAAACATTAAGCATTTTTAAAATGAAATTTCAGAATACATACAAACGATGATGTTGTACAATGAAATATAAAATTGAATAGACTGAAAAAAAAATAACTATTAAGACTGTCAATCTTGAAAATAATATAGTTATGAAAAAAATATAAAGTAAGATAAAAATTATAAGATATTAGGAGATTTGTAAGTACAGTTAGTAAAAACGTTATGGTTATTAAAAAAAATAAGATTGTTAAGATTAGTAAAAAATACAATATATTAACTAAATTATCACAACAGTAATGAAATGTCATTATTTGATATTTCATATAATTGAAAGATATATCAAATTACATTGATGATATAAAATTATTCAAAGTTGCGTCAAGACTAATGCAAAGTTCTTGTGAAACACCAAATAAATAAGAACAAACATAAAAGTTAGCACTTATATTCATAATCAATTTAAAATAAACGAATCATGATTTAGAAAAAAAATTCATTGATGATATACTAAAATTAAATTCATATAACATTTGATATTCCATAAATTATACTCTATGACTTTATTTGAATAATTGAAATAGTTGTCAATATTTAATACAGTGAAAAAAATGGTATATTGGTTGTCAATATAAGCTTAAATTAAGTAACCTTCTTATGGAATGAACGTCTAATTAGAATATTTATGCTTATATAACAATATCATAACCATATGTGACAGAGGAAGGTCATTCAACTAATAAAACAAAAGTATACAACGAGCTCCTTCAATGATTATATATATTTATCGATTTCAATGTATCTTCTATACATTTCAATAATACCAATAACCATATTATTTTTTTTATAAATACTCTGCAATATCTATAGACATTTGTATGTTTTTATGCGTTCCCCGCGTTTAATGCGGGTTATAATCTAATATATGTGAAGTTGGAAAAATAAAAACTCTGTAAATCAATAAAACAATAAAAATATCTTATACTTTCACAATTAAGCGATTAACCTTTACATACATCCATATCTAGGTAGATAAACTTTCATTCAAAAGTTATTAAAATAATATATATAAATATAAAAATAAAAACATAAAATAGCAGCTGGGAAAATTACAAAATGCCAAAACCAATCAGCAGAGGCAGAGCAGCAGTTTGAGGGGGACAAAACGGCGCCGGTTGGTGGTAGGTGTCGGCCCACCCTGTAACTCCAGCTAAGACTCCGTTGGCTAATTGGCCACGTGGGACCCACTTCCGCTCCTAGTGGCTACCGCTTATTGCCTGCATGGTTGACACGTGTCTCTTAGACCGCCGTTATTTCTTCTCTACCTTCGGTCTTTTTCTTATTTATTTACTCACCTGCGTCAAATTTACAGTTATATCCTTGATTTTATTCCAACCAAGAATATTCCTACCAACAAGAGAGGATATTTACAGATAATAAGTTTATATATATAAACAAAAAATACAAAAATCACTAATAACAATTAAAATGCTCGATGTACTTTCTTACCAATTTGTTTTTATTCTTCCTAACAATTTTTACTTTCAATTTGTACAGTTCCAATATAGTAATAATTCAAATTAAATATGCTATTTTATGCTGTTGATTAAGAGTATATTAAAAATTTTGATATTAGCTTCAGGTAAATATTGTTTCTTTTTTCATGGATGTGTTAGGTATCTAAAGTACAATTAATAATATCAAAATAAATGAAAAATAATTATAATACACATCAAACAACTAACACATTTATAAGATCAGCACCAATAAACAAATACGCACCTTTACATTTAATATAAAAATTATCCTCAATAATGGGAGCTAGCTAGGTGTAGTAGATGAATATTTGTTGAATTGTTCCCTTTGAATTATCTTTTTACCTTAAACAGTATCCATAAAAAGTTTATGCTGACAACTTTTTCTTCCAAAAATGTTTTTTAAAAATAACTTTGAAAACGAAATAAGTAAAGGAAATAATTGCCTCAAGTTTTCTGCTAAACTTGCACACCCTTTTCCCATCTCTTGTTTTTCTGCTTATTTTCCATCAGTTTTTTTCTTCACACAACCAAAAAAAAATTAAAAAAAAATCATGTCTTCAGGTTTGTATAATCACAACTATTCTCCAGCAAGAGCTGTTTCTCCTCAGATTAGAACTAACGGAGATGCTGATAGGTTCGTGAATTCATATGCTAAATCCTTCGCCATGTTTCATGGGTTTTTGAGTTTCATTTTTTTTTCAAAAGAAAACTTTGTGTGCTGTTTAATCTGTAATTAGGTTTCTTTATTTTGATGTTGTTTTGGTATTACGATTTACGCAGTCAGTACTTGTCTGAATTATTGGCGGAACATCAGAAGCTTCAGCCGTTTACGCAAGTTCTTCCCGTATGCACCAGACTCCTGAATCAAGGTTTGATTCTTTTAGATTTTAATTTCTAGGGTTTATGATCTTTGAGGTTTTTTATCTTTTTAGGAAGATCCACTTGTATTTGCTTTAAACATGAGTTGAAATTGACTATCTGTTTGAAACATCAAACATGAAACAACCCTGTATCAGGTAAAGAACACTAACAGAAAGAGGATTGACCATTTTTCTCGAATTGTATGCCCACCTAAAAACTTAACTTGTTGACCATTTTGCCCCTCTATACGCCTTTTCTAATGCAATCAATTCCCATTCTATCGTTCCATTGTGGACTTTGTAAGCACGATTCTTCTTAGACAATTTCCAAGATACATGAAGAAATGTGCTCTTTATTTAATTTGAGTCTTTGAAATAGGATCACAACAGTATTCAAGTCTCAAATTTTCCTATAATTACGTCTTTAACCATTGACTTGAACATCATTTATTTCAGAATTAATGAGGGTTTCTAGTATGTTACAAAACCAAGGGTATAATGAGCTTGAAAGAATGCGACATAGAAGCCCAAGCCCCATGGCTTCTTCAGATCTCATGTCACAAATTCCAGGTGGTTGGAATGGTTTTCCACAGGAGGTAATTAATTAATTAATTAATAATTTTACTTTTTCAACTCTAAAACTTCTCATTTCTTAAATAAAAATTTCAAATCATATTATATATCATGTGTTTTGTTATGTCAGAGGTTAAGTGGAATGACAATGGATTGGCAAGGAACTCCAGCAAGCCCTAGTTCATACACAGTGAAGCGAATCTTGAGGTTGGATATTCCGGTTGATACCTTCCCAAATGTAAGCTTAATTTCATGATTCAAAAAAAGATCTTGAATATTTAGATCAAAAGATATAAATGGGGAAAGTGAATGACATGTTTTTGTTCTTTGGATTTTAGTTTAACTTTGTTGGCAGACTTTTGGGACCTCGAGGCAATTCACTAAAACGTATAGAGGCTACAACAGGGTGTCGTGTGTATATAAGAGGAAAAGGGTCAATCAAAGATCCTGATAAGGTTCTTTTCTTTCATATGCTTCTTATATACTTTTTTAAAATTCAAGATTCCTTGAATCTAATATTTGTTCACGATTTAAAGGAAGAGAAACTGAGGGGAAGACCTGGGTATGAGCATTTAAATGAGCCACTTCACATCTTGATTGAGGCTGATTTGCCACCGAGTGTTGTTGATTTAAGGCTAAGGCAAGCTCAGGAAATAATCCAGGAGTTGCTAAAACCAGTGGTATCTTTCTTTTCTTCTACTTTGACTTTTAACTTTTAAGTATTGAGTTGATTTGACCTAACAAGTCAAACATTTTTTTTTTCTGATTGCAGGATGAATCAGAAGATTACATCAAAAGACAACAATTAAGAGAGCTAGCGATGCTAAATTCGAGTTTGAGAGAAGAGAGTCCTGGGCCAAGTGGAAGCATGTCACCATTCAATACAAGTGGCATGAAACGTGCAAAAACCGGACGTTAATTGGGCCCCACCTTTCTATTACAATTTACATACACACCTTCATATATTGCATGATTTTTTGAAAAAAAAAATTTGAAATGTATAGGCTGACATGTGAGTTTTGAGTTTGTTATTCGATTTTATATTCATTTTTTGAAAAAAAAGAAAAATAGAACGATAGATATAGAATGGAGTGTAAAGCGTAGTAGAGTAAGGGATGATTTTTTTTCTTGTTTATCGGGTGATTTGATTCTTTGGATTTATTCATGTGTTAGCACAAACATATGAATACTAGATTGTTGTTTCATATATGTTATACTATATGCTATTTGATTCAAATGACAACAAATCAAAAACTTTGCATTCATTTTGAAAAAGGGAAAATACAAAATCACAACGAGAGTATAAAAATCTTCTCTACCATGTTGTAATGTACAACAAACTACATTGCTCTCAACTCTCACATCATAATCATACTTTTTCTATACACATAGATATACAATTCCTATTTTTCACCTTTCTTTGTGCAAAATTTGAATTTGTTTGTACATCAACGAGGATACACTAAGGGGCTACCACCACTAGTAAGATCACTACTTCCATGAACATTTGATGAGCTATACAAAGAAGACATTGATGATGATTCCACAAAGTAGTTTGAATCCGGATCCAACAACTCATCTTTTGGCATCTTTTCAAGTATTTGCTCCAATTCCCTCACCACATCCACCATACTTGGCCTTTTCTCAGGCTTATCCTTGCAACACCAAAGAGCCAAAAGTACAAACTTCTCAATACATTCAGAAGGGTATGAACCCATTCTGCTGTCTACAATTGAGAACATCGTTCCTGTTTCATGAGCTATTTTCACCTGAAAAAAAGAAACCAACATTTTCTTTTTCTTATATCCATTTGAAAATCTTGATATGAGTTTAAAAAAGAAGTTAATCATACCTCACGAACAATGTTTTTGCCATGTGATATTGGCTTCATGCTAGTCAAGATCTCTAAAAGCACAACTCCAAGGCTATAAACATCACTTTTGTCTGTCAACTTATGGGTTAATAAGTATTCAGGATCAAGGTAACCCTGTTATAAAAATGGTGGAAGTTAGATATCATATCATCAAATCTAACAAAGAGAATTTAGAATAACAAATGCTATTAAAGAATCAGACTTACGGGTGTTCCTCTAACAAGTGTGGATACATAATTAGGCCCAACTCCATTGTCATCCAAGATTGGTGCGAGTCTTGAAAGCCCAAAATCAGCAACTTTTGCAGTCATTTTGGAGTCGAGAAGAATATTGCTTGATTTGATATCACGATGGAATATTGGTGGATTGGCTTCTGTGTGAAGATAAAGAATCCCTTTAGCTGAGTTCAATGCCACGTGTAACCTCATACGGAAGCTCAAAGCTTCTCCAGATTTTGCTGTGAATTTTGTAAATTGTTATCAATTTCATCTTTTTTTTTTATATGTTAAAAGATTGGATCTAAAAAAGTTTCATACCATTAAGCCAATCACGCAATGTTCCCTTAGGCATGTACTCATAAACCAGCATCTGCTTAAGTGGGGCCCACAACACTCATTCAGTAAAAAAAAAAAAAAAAAGTCTTTTTCGATAATGATAAACCAAAAGAATACCTGTTCCTTTTCCTCATCACAATATCCAAGAAGTGAAACTAGATTTCGGTGATGTAATCTTGACAAAATCTCTATTTCTGTTAAAAATTCCTTTTCACCTTGTAATGATCCTTCTTCTGCACGCTTTATAGCAACCATGGTGTTATCCCATAATACTCCTTTATAAACTTTCCCATAACCTCCTCTCCCCACAAGACTCGAATCACTAAAGTTTTGAGTTGCAATCGCCATTTCTCTAAAAGTGAAGCTTTTAACCCCATCGATTTTGATGGAAAGTTTCGCGACTACAAACGATTAACATCAAATTAATCGGGTTAATGATAATTTCCAAGTTTTTATATGAATAACTTACGTAAAGATTTTCTTGATGATGTGTGCTTGTATCTCTCGTGTCGTTTCTTGATCACAACAGTAAGTATTGAAGAAATTGCTAAAGCGCAAACGACTCCTATAACTACTGTTGTTACCAAAACGCCCTTGCTTATACCTTTGCTCGGTGTTTCAACATTCACTACAACAATAAAAACACAATGTGAGATTACAAAAACACGAGAAACTAGTTGCAGATATGTAGTTAATCATCCGACATGAATATGAAAAGCTTACAGTGTGAATAAGGTCCAAGAAGAGTGAAATTGAGAAGCTCATAGGGTCCAAATAAGTGGCTTCCAGGAAATACCCATGTTGTAAAAATGCCTTTGATACGCAAAACATCACTTGTACTGAATGTACTTGAATGATCGATGCCAGCTTTAGGGAAAAGTTTAAGATACATCCTTAAACGAGGTCCTTTTTCCCACATAATCGAGTCGATAGATAGTTGATAGAATTCCAAATCAAGAGCACTAGTGACATATGTTTCGAATTGCTCACGATATGGTGGAAAATAAGAAAAGCTTGGACTTTTTAGGCGATACCCGATTCTAAGAGGTGAAGCACAAAAACAAGGAATTGGGGATTCTGGAACATATTCAAAGTAATTGTCTGTGGGACATGATTGAATTGGACAATCGGTTGCGTCTTTTGAAAAGGAACGCATGTATTCTCCATAATCTTTTGGCCCACAGAATTCGTCTTTGTTTTGTATGCTTGAATTTCGACAAATTGGATTTCCATTTAGCCTGATGAATATATAAATCAAATTCAATCGTTCGATTAGCGTATACAGATATACTCATACAATCGTTTGTAGAAGTATATGAAGATGGCATACCTTAGGCTAGCATTAACAGGTGGATTTAAAACCCCAATAACACTTGAAAACGAATTATTACGGAAATCACTGCATGTTGTGAACACATGATCAAGAAATGAGTAACAAAGATAAAAAAA